CTTTTTTTTGTTGTTTTTTGTTTGTTTGTTTGTTTGGTTTTGAGACAGTGTCATTCTTTCACCCAGGCTGGAATACAGTGGCACGATCTCGGCTCACTGCAACCTCTGCCTCCTGGGTTAAAGCAATTCTCCTGCCTCAGCCTCCCGAGTTGCTGGGATTACAGCCACCATGCCCAGCTAATTTTTGTATTTTTAGTAGAAACGGGGTTTCACCATGTTGGCCAGGCTGGTCTTGAACTCTTGACCTCAAGTGATCCACCCGCCTTGGCCTCTCAAAATACTGGGATTACAGGCGTGAGCCACTGCGCCCGGCTCACTCCTTTTTTTGAGACAGAGTCTCACTCTGTTGCTAGGATAGAGTACAGTGGTGCAATTTTGGCTCACTGTAACCTCTGCCTCCCAGATTCAAGTGATTCTCCTGCCTCAGCCTCCCGAATAGCTGGGATTACAGGCACCCGCCACCATGCCCAGCTAATTTTTGTATTTTTAGTAGACGGGGGTCTCACCATGTTGGCCAGGCTGGTCTTGAACTCCTGAGCTCAAGGGATCTGCCCGCCTCGGCCTCCCAAAGTGCTGAGGTTACAGGCGTGAGCCACCGCGCCGGGTCCCGCAGTCTCTTTTCACCAGGCACGGTGGTTCAGTGTTACCGCCTGGGGTAACTGATCCCACTGTTCAGTTGGGAGGCAGCTGATCTGCACTGTTCCCCCCGCTCTGAGTTCCCCCAGGCCAGAGCTGAGAGCCAGGCTCACCAGATCCCTGCAGGAGGGCCTTGTATCTGAGTCCAATTTTCCTCCAGCACGAGGCCTGGCATTTAGTTACCTGCTATCTCGTCCGCTGTTCAGTGTTCTTGGCCTTTGGATATTTCGCCCCGCGTGTTTCATTGTCTTCAGGGAAATGGCTGGTCCAGGCACCCAGCCTGCTGTCACTGGGAAGGGACATGTGCCCTGAGACGGGACTGATGTCACTGCTGCACCCTGGTGGGGCACACCAGCCCACGGCTGTGCCGCCCGGGAGGTGCCCTTCTGTCGGAGGGCATTTGCCAAAACCAGCAATGGTTCTCATTCCGTGGCCTCGTGGGGTCAGGAGGAGAGAAGTCAGGGCCAGTCCTGCCCAAAATGGGGAGCATTATAGAAAACCTTTCCTACCTTAAGCTGAAAACCTAAAGGGCTACACTCTTAGGGTAAGAATGAATCGGAATTAGCCCTGCTCCCTCCACAGGAAAGACACTTGGTGCTAAAAGAAGCAAAAAGAAAAAGTTCTTGAGAAGTTAGGGCAACAGGTCTTCTCCAGCACAGATTTGAGGCCCAAGAATGCAGAGAACTCCAAGCACTCAATGCGTTGTTTTGACACAGGGTATCTCTCTGTCACCCAGGCTGGAGCATGGTGGTGTGATCATGGCTCACTGCAGCCTCGAACTCCTGGGCTCGAGCAATCCTTCCACCTCAGCCTCCCAAGTAGCTGGAACTTCAGGTGCATACCACCATGCCCAGCTAATTAAAAAGAAAAGAAATACACCAGGTGCAGTGGCTCACGCCTGTAATCCCAGCACTTTGAAAAGCCACGGCAGGTGGATCACCTGAGATTAGCAGTTGGAGACCAGCCTGGCCAACCTGGTGCGACCCTGTCTCTACTAAAAATACAAAAATTAGCCAGGTGTGGTGGTGGGCGCCTGTAATCCCAGCTATTGGGGAGGCTGAGGCAGAATTGCTTGAACCCAGGAGGTGGAGACTGCAGTAAGCCGAGATCACACTATTGCACTCCAGCCTGGGCAACAAGAGTGAGACTCCATCTCAAAACAAAAAAAAATGTGTAAAGATGGGGTCTTTCTATGTTGTCCAGGCTATTCTCAAACTCCTGGCCTTAAACAATCCTCCTACCTCAGCCTTCCAGAGTGCTGGGATTACAGGCATGAGCCACCGTGCCCAGACCTTTGGGGGGCCAGTATGTTTGGTTTGCAGTGGCCTCCAGTGGGTAATGCCCCAAATTACTCCTCCCTAGTGGACTCTACCTTCATCCTAGGCCTCAAAGAATCTCTCCATCAGCATTTTTCAAAGCCAGTGAGTAGCACATAGTTAAAGATGACCAAGAACACAGGGAAACAGGGCACCATGAGTGACCTGCACAGGCTTCAGACACGAGGATGGTTGTGCACTGTGCCAGACACTGGGGTGGTTGTGTGCGGTGACCGACACTGGCCAGGTGGTCCTGTTGACTTGTTTCCAGGTACCCGGCCTAACCACAGTCCCCAGGATCCTTCATAGCTGGGCACAGCCACACGGCTCAAATCTGGACGATGGAATGTGGGTGATGATGACAGGAGCAACCTCCAGTCCCAGCCCGTAATATACTCTCAAAGAAGTTAGTTAAAGAGGGCCAAGTGCAGTAGCAGCATTTTGGGAGGCAGAGATGGGTGGATGACCTGAGGTCAGGAGTTTGAGGTCAGCCTGGCCAACATGGCAAAACTCCATCTCTATTAAAAATACAAAAATTAGCCAGGTGTGGTGGCACGTACCTGTAATCCCAACTACTCGGGAGGCTGAGGCAGGAGAATCACTTGAACCCAGGAGGCAGAGATTGCCATGAGCTGAGATTGTGCCACTGCACTCCAGCCTGGGTGACACAGTGAGACACTGTCTCAAAAAAAAAAAAAAAAAAAAAAAGAGGAAAGGGGGAAGAAGAGATGAGAGGAGGAAGAGAGAAAGAGAGAATATCTGAAAGGATAGTGGCTAAGAATTTCTCAGAACTGATGAAAACTACTAATCCACAGATTTAAGAATCCTAGTGAATTCCAAGCAGAACAAATAAAAAGAAACTCTCACCTACACAAGATAGTAAAATTGCTGAAAACCAAGGACAATTAAAAAAAAAAAAAAAAAAATCTTAAAAGCAGCCAGAGGAAAAAGAGAGTTACTTTGAAAGAATGGACGTTAGACTGACAGCCAAACTCTTGAACACAGAGACAGAAGTCAGGGGACGCTGGGATGTGCTGAACAAACCAACGCACTACAAGAGA